GGCTATCGATTAGCCGATGATGATGATGAGACACCAAGAGTCGATCTGCGGTTGTCTGTGAAGCATGCCAGGAACGCCCAACAAAAGTCCTAAAAAACATTTCTAAAAAAAATTCTTTTGTATACACCTAAATCAATAAGTAACCGTCCAAAATGGGAGAAACAAGCCCCCTCCAAAAAAAAAAAAAAAAAAAAAAAGGAGGAAGAAAACAACAGTTTTTGATTAAAAAAAAAAAAAAAGTTAACCTAATCAAATAGAAGTGTGCCTATTTAAACAAAGTGCCCACCAGAAAGAGAGACAAGAAGAAAATAAATAAATAAATAATAAAACAAAAAAAACAATAAGCACAAAGACAGGCCGTCAGATCACTCTACTTCTTCGGCTGGCTTTTCGGCACAGGGACACGCTCCTGAGGCTGAGTCATGAAGAGCTGCACATGGCACGGACTGCACATGTATGGCGTAATACGGCCGTGGGCACGGTACGTGCGGCGGCGCATGCGGGCGGCCTGATCCACCTGTACGTGCTTGATGACCATCTTGTTGGGGTCAAGACCCTTCTCGATGGCGTTTGCCTCGGCATTCTTCAGCAGTGAGAGCATTGCAACAACAGACTTGCGTGGCCAACGTCCCTTTGTCTGTCCCCACTCCTTCGCCTGAGCGGTACGGCCAATCTTGCCATTGTAGCGCTTGAAAGGAATGCAGCGTGTCTTGGCAAGAACCTGACGGTACAGCTGCTGTGCCTTGCGAAGGGGCATGCCGTTGATCACATTCGCTGTCTCAAAAGTGTTCTTGAAGTGGCAGCGGAGATCACTGACCTTCGCCTTGGCGCTCTTCGAGCTCACCTGAGGCTTCCTTGAGTAGTGCACCATGACCACAATCCTGCCCTTTCTTTGTTGATTTGTTGTTGTGGGTGTGTTAACAGAGAACCCAGAAGGAATGCAACGAGCCAGAACAAACACAACGACAAGAAAAAGAATTTATTATTATTATTATCTTATTTTGCTTCTCGCGCCAAATCACAAGTTCATCCGTGCCCCTTCTCCACTCTTCTTTTTCACCATTCTTTGGCAAATTCAAAAACAAAAAAACAAAGCGAAAAATTAAAAAAACGGTACCACATCGTCACATCGCAAAGTGCTCAGTCGCGTCCTCTCTGACGTCTCGAATCATCACGACGACGGGCAGAAAAGGCGGCAGCCTTTTCCTCGCGTTTTTAATGTTTTTCTCCCTTTTAGCGCATAGTTCCGAAGCCATTGTGGAAAGTGAGACAACCACTGTCCCGTTCTCTTTTCGCACAATAAAAAAATTACTTTGTGATGCAGTAAACTGTGCTAGGCCACCAAAAGCCACCAACGCTTCTTGAATCTCCTCGGGTATGGACGAGGCCCATTTGTTTATGGGCATCCACGACTTCCCACTTGGGTAGAGCTCCAGTAGCTTTGCCACGAGCTGGGGCTCGTTTAACGAATTGCGATAGCCACCTTGTTGAAAGTTCTGCGGGGGCCTTCCCCTGAGAGGCCGACCATCGCGAGGACCACCAAATCGTTGTTGTTGTTGCTGCTGCTGCTGCTGCTCACGCTGTTGGTACCGACCGCTGCCACTACCGGATTGTGACCGCGCTAAGGCGGCGACAGTAATCAATCTATTTAACCGGAGGGATCGCATATTTGCCTCCTTTACTTTATTACGTTGCTTGCAAACTAATAAAAATAGCAAAAAGGGAATTTCCTCACCAATATCAACACAGAAAACATTTTAACAAACAAACAAAGCCAAACGGGGAGAGAATCGTGCAGATTACCGTAAGTAGTTATATATATATATACAAATCATAATATTATATCCCTCTCCCAAAGAAAAAAAATTATACCAATTGTTAAACAAATCTCACAACCCGCGTTCCATGAACCTCAGTAACACCCAGATCCCTGGCAATTTTCTCAGCATTCAAATTAGTAACGCCACCTCCGGGCATTATGGATATTCTATTTTTTGCATATAAAACAAGTTCCTTCAGCCAATCCAAATTTTCTTCAATATTGGTACTTGCGGATCCTCCATGGGTTAGAATCCGGTGAAATCCGTAGGCCGTTAACGCATCAATGGCCTGAAATTGCTTTTCGGTAGGGATTTCATCAAAAGCCATGTGAAACGTCAGAGACATCCCTTTGGCAGCAGACAATAGGATGCTAATTCGGGGGTCCACATTGCCAAGGGTATCAATGGCGCCAAAAACAACACCATCTGCCCCCAAACGCCTCGCCAATATCACGCTTTTCAACATTACCTGAAATTCCTCATCACTGTAATAAAAATTGCCCTCCCTACAGCGTATAATAACCATTACCATAGCATTTCTAGAGTGGCAATATTCCACTGTATTTTGAATCGTATCAGCGGACGGGGTGACGCCGCCAACATCCAAACGGGCACAAAGCTCAACACGCTGTGCCCCCGCAGCTATGGCCTCTGGTATCCGTTCATAGCCCTCTGCACAAAACTCTTTTAAAATCATTGATTTCCTTCCTCGAAATAAAGGTATTAGTAACAATATTTCAAATATGTACTCACACACACAAACAACAACAACAAAAAAAAGTTAAAAAAAAAAAAGAAAAACAAAAAGGAAACGCCTTCCCGCCTCAAAAGAAAACAAAAACTGAAAAACTTTTCCACTAATCTCTCTTCTCTTCTCAAACATTAATACTCTTGCAATTACTAGTAGCAATAACCAAAGCGTCATGACAATACTTTCTCGGTTTTCACTCAAAAGCTGTAGGTATCACTAAATGTTATTGGCATGCCAACCCTTTTGTTCTTCATTATATAATTCCTTGAAAACGTTTTCATTGCCTTGTTTTGGAATCGCATCAGTTGCTGAGGAATAAGTTCCTCCCCATACGGTATGAGAAATTCCATCTGCAACTGTAGCCGCAGTTGAGTATTGTACGGATGGGGTACCTTCCCAAGATACGGGGGCACCGGTTGACCACCCATCATCAATTACCGTGTTTAAAGCAGCATAGTGATCCCCAAGCTTTTCTGGCCCAACATTTTCCTCAGATTGAGGACTGAACAACGGAAAATGCTGGTTATCCACCAAGGGATCGGCTGGAGCAGAAGGAACCGCCGGTCCTGATTCTGCTGCGGGTGCGCTGACAAAAAGCTCATCCATAGAGAATGCCGCCTCTTTCTTTTCAGTAGCAACGGGTGGTATAGAAGGGGATTCTTTACCACTTCGTGGTTGTGCGTTCACTGAGGGTGATAGTGGAGGTGATGCTTTTTCGACCGTTTCTCTCGGCGGAGTCTTTATTTCACTTCCACATGTTCCCAATTTTCCCAACGTCTCAGTTACATCTTCCCTTGGAATGCTACTCAAGCGAACATCGTCCTCCAATTGCCCCAGAAAAGAATCTGGCAGAGGCTTTAGCTGTGGTGGAGGTTGCATAAAAACTTTTGATGATCTGAGGATCGAGTCAAATAATAAGCGCAGTTTTTCCACTACCACACTGTACTGCCGGTAAAGCTCCAGCCAAACTTTTTTTAGGGGAAGTGAAAAGTCGTCGAATCCGTCAAGTACAAATATGACTCGATTAGAAAGCAGTTGATACAAAATTTTCCCATCACATACAAGCCTTTGATACGCTTCCAGTGTACAAAAGTTATCTACTATGGCTTCTTGGTATTCCACAGCAACGAGGGCAGCGAGCTGACCCAACAGCGCTCCAAAGAAAGGGGTTAGGGAATCCACATCCATTGAACGCAAATAAGAGCTGAAATCAACACTCTCCAAACGATTATCAACACCAATTGCCTCCTGTGAAATTGCACGCTCCTCAAGATAACTTAAATATTGTCGAATGAACAATGCCTGAGCTGCGCCCTCCACACTTTCAGAAAGGTCCTTCAGATTCCGAGCGCAAAATATACTTCGATTTCGCTTTATACAGGCATTGAATTCATTCGACCCATCTGTCATCAAACGGTGCAATGTCACCAGAGTCTTGAGCACCACAATCCAATTGTGTGTGTGCATTCTTTTTTCAAGTTCTGCCACGATGTGCCCACAGATGCTTTTCCCATCGCGAATATCATTTTTATAATGCCCATAAGTCGTAGCCAAGAGCCTTTGCATGTGTTTCTCTTTTGGTGCCTTTAGCATATGGCTTGTTACCTTCATAATTGCCCGATCCAATTCATCTCCTGTCACACGAGCCAATCCAATAATAGCCTTTTCCTTGAGGTATCCTGCGCCTCTCTTCAGTTCATTAGAATCTTTCACATTCATGGCTCAAGTTCCTACCCAATAAAAACAAGCAGAAAGATAAAAGGCGGGAGAGAGAGCGTGTGTGAGTGTCTTTGTGCGTATATGTTTTTGGATTCTCCCCATCCATACAAATAGTAATAATAATAATAATAATAATAATAATAATAATAATAATAATAATAATAATAATAATAATAATAATAATAATAGTAATAATAATAATATAAAAATGCATTTTTACGGTACATTTTGAAATAATACACAGCCTTTCACAGCGCTCTGGGTAAGTATACAGCCTTTGCTTCGAGTGAGGATTTTTGAATCCCTTTTTTAAACGAGAGAAAAGCTTTTGAAGATGAAGAGTTAGGTTGTCTTTCGTGATTATTTTCAGCAAAATGTAGCTCGGCGTACAGCAACTCAATCGTTTGCTTGGCCCCCAACAATTCGAGACGGAGAGCATTAACAAGATCCTCGGTTTTTTGCAGCTGTTTCCGAAGGGCTGTATTCTCATCCTTAAGAATGAGTCGACGCCTTTTACTTTCAAGAAGCATTTTTTTCATGCTTTCAATTTTGGCACCCTCCTCCTCAAGAGTCTTCTTTAGTCGTGAATTAGCCTCAGCCATTTCCTTTCGTTCCTTTTCTTGCTCTAGCTTTAGAACACTTAGGGTCTTGGCGTTCATATCCTCAGTGGATCTCACAGTTTCCCTCAGTTTGCATTCTAATTCATTCAACTTCGACGTACTGGAAAGTGAGGCATTTATTACATCCTGCTTCGTTTTTAATAACTCGTTACTAAGCAAATCCTTTTGGCCCTCTAACGTGGAAATCATGGATTTCAAATTTGTTATTTCAGCCTCCTTTTTGCGTTGTTCTTCTTCCCGAAGCTGTAACTGCATTTCAAAATTTTCCTTTAGTGTATCGACAAGTCGGCTTTGGTCGCATTCGTATCTTAAAACCTTGGCATTCGTCACAAATTCTGACGGAGAAGCTAATATTGTTTTGGTGTGTAAATCCTCCGATACCTGAACAACAGACTGCAATGTTTCCAAGAGCTGCTTTGATATAACCTTTACCTTTTCAAGTGAATGTCTTGAAGAATCCCAAGTATCTCGGATGACATGTACAGAAAAAGCAAAGGCGTTTTCGCACGTTTCATTTTTATCAGGGTACACCATTGAGTCAAAATTTTTTCGTTCCCTTTCAAATTTTTTCATCTCTTTTAAACGTTCCCTCTCCACTGTCGGAGGTCTATAGGGAACACCTGGATTTGTCATTTGTGCGAGTGCATCAATGCTACTATTTAATGATGTTTCTATCCGATCCTCAATATCCCACAATGACACATTGAACTCCACAAGCCATTGCCGATACAGCATCAGAAGAGAAACTGCCTCACGCAAAAAAGACTTTTGAGAGTCATCGACCGAATTGTCAGACAACTGCTGCACCTTCTCACGTGTAGATGATAATTCCAATTGATATTGAGCCACTTGTTCTTTAAGAAGAAGAACTTCAGCTAGAGCTTTAGAATATTTCCCCTGCGTTTCTTCCAATTTAGACGCTGTGAGACTGTCCGTTTTTACCATTCTATTTAGACGTTCAATTTCACGCTCACACTCTCTGTTACGATAATCTAGCCCATGAATTGTCTCATCTTTTATTTGAAGCTCCTCAACTAATTTTGTCAGCCTCCCATCAACTTGCCCTCTTAGGCTATGCAAGAGATCCGAGAGGCGCTTACGTTCAGCAAGGGCCTCTGCAAGTTCTCCTTCTAAAGAGGTTCGACTAGACTGGAAACGTGCTATTTCCATTTCATGTGCATGTTTTTGATTCTGAAACTGGCGTTTGGCTTCCTCCAAATCTTCGTTTAAGCGTGCTACTTCTACCGTGCGTTCTTCCGCAACAGAACAAAGGCGTTCATTTTCTTCTTTCACAATTGCCAAAATTTCTTTCGTGACAGCTAAATCCTGACGAACGTGTGCTATTTCGCGGTGTGATGAAAATTCAATTTTTCCACCAACTGGAGTTGTGGACATTCCACTGACTAATTTAAGAGGAAAAAATAAATAAATATAAAATAAATGATAAATAAATAAATAAATAATAATCAAATAAATAAATAAATACAATAATAAATAAATATAACAATAATAAATAAATAAAATAAAATAATATAAATAAATAAATAAATAAATAAATACATAAATAAATAAATAAATAAATAAATAAATACATAAACTAAACAAATAAATAAATATAATAATAAATATAGTAATAATATAATAATACTAATAGTAATAATAATAATAATAATAATAATTAATAATGATAATTTAATAATAATAAATAATACCAATAGTAATAATAATAATAATAATAATAATAATAATAATAACAATAATAATAATAATAATAATAATAATGATAATAATAATAATAATAATAATAATAATAATAATAATAATAATAATAATAATAATAATAATAATAATAATAATAATAATAATAATAATAATAAAATAAAATAAGACAAGAATAGAAATTTAAAAGCACCGGAAAAGATATCGACATTGTGGAGATGGTATTTT